TTTCAAATAGTTATTATTTTATGCATTGACTTTACTCTAAAACGAATTTTTGATTAAGCGGACATTTTTAGCGGTCATTAAAAATAATGACCGGGTCATTATATATATCCCACGTGCAATGATTCCTAGGTCAGTATTGCTGTAAACGGTACCATTTGGAGTCATTGTTGTGTTTTAAAGTTTTCTTACCAGCCAATCAAATTCGAGTATTATCAATAGAGGTATAATAAATCTCGATTAAAACGCAAGAGTGTGCTCTACGTACATGTATGAACAATTTCTTAAACTAGGTACATTGCTGACACAAACGTTGATAAAACAAAGATATTAGCAGTCCCATTTAAAGACATCATTTTGTAAGTTGGAGATCAGTGTTGGCTTTGCTCTGTTTGTATTGTTAAAATGTCTCTTAGACTTGAATGTTGTTGGTTATCTCTATTTATTTTATAAATGTCGAATAGATTTGTCAGAAATAAAATAATTCAGAGGTCCGTGTTTATAAATTTGCTTAGTTTGTATTGTTAAATGGACTTTGAATTTGAATACTGTTCGTTATATGTATCTCCATTTATTTACATTTGCAATGTCTTTGTCAGAGATAATTTTTTTTAACAAATGTTAAATGATTGATTGACTGATTGTATATTGTTTAACGTCCCTCTCGAGAATATTTCACTCGTATGGAGACGTCACCGTATGCCGGTGAAGGGCTTCAAATTTTGACCTTTACTCGGCACTCAGGGCCATTGAGCAGTGAGAGATCCTTATCGTGCCAACGCCTGCCGCTGACACGGGGCCTCGGTTTTTAAGGTCTCATCCGAAGGACCCGCAACTTTCACATCAAAGTGCCGAGCGCATGGCGAAGGAATAGTTGTTACATTGTACCCATTTTATCGATTAGGTCAGTCGCATCCGAGATACGAACTCACGACCTCCCGATCACGGAGCGAGCGGTCTACAACAAAGGTTAACAGTAATTGATTTCTTCATGATGCTTGATAGATGTGGCTTAAAATCACGTGACGGAACCATCTTTTTGCTGTGTCTGGTGTACATGTAGTAATACAGATTATAAAATTAGCATGTTCTCAACCTTGTTTTTAATGCATACAACACTAATAAAAATTTCATTTGACTTTTTTAATGCTTTCGATAAAATCCATAGAATTTTGTTAAAGATAATTAATCTATGATCGTCTGTTTCGTCTGTTTATCTCTGACACTCGTTTGATTTTCCTATTTTTTCTAATAAAGCAAGGATGGCAGAGAAAGTATCCAACGTTTAAATTTGGCAGGTTTGATTTGAAACCTAACATAAATATTCTTGAAATGAGTGATTCCGGTTTTTGCAATTTCTTGTCAAACTTTACAATAACAGAGATCGATCCCGAACAGGCGTCAAAAACCAGTATAATAAATCTTGAAGACCCGGCACTGCCGACTCCGGATGTTTCAGAAAGCAACAGCGTAAACCTGCGATTTAAACGAGTAACTGAAGAAGAATTAGCACAAATCAAAGATTTAAATTAATCAAAAGTCACAAAGATAAATACTCGATGGGGATTAAAGAGTCTGACAGGTATTGTAGTGATTATTTCTCCTACAGCATATAATACAACAGAAATAACAAAATTATGAAATTAAATTATTATTTTTAAGTAAATAACTTTCAAAACATGAGCATCATTGTGAATATATCAAATTTGTAGACTGGTACATACAAACGTTTGACTAACCCCTTTACATTGCTACAGCAGGGGAAGCAGGGGGAGAACTGGCGGAAAATCTAGCTCGATTTTACTGTTAAACAAAGTCATAAGACTACCCAAACAAAACATACTGGATACAATAAAACACCATAAATTCCAGGCGAGCCGCCATTAACAGACGTTTATCTGACATTGGTCGTAATATTAACAAAGTTATTGATAAAACATTTAAAATGGCTACTAATAGCTGACAACTTTTCTAAAGCACAGAATGAGCACAGAAAACTCTCTCCCCACATCTCCTTCGAAGGTAATTCCGAAAAAAGATTTACAGACAGTATCTGCTTACCTTTAACTTGCGTATTTATCTCCAATATATTTGCGTTTGGCTGTTTGGTTTAATGTTACCTTGCATTCTATGTCCATGGGACTAAAGTCCAGCATCAACTCAGTGTATATTTCTTTGATTTTAAAGTCGTCAAAGAGGGCTTAACATGTATCGGTATGTTTGAATCATGAAACTAAACATAAGAACTACCAAGACGGTATACAGAAAACTGAAGCACCAGTATATTCAGAAAAAATATTATTCATAGAAAAGCTAAAACCCTGAGTATAATTTTTTCTGTCTATGTATGGAATTCTTTATTGGCATTTTTTTCTGCAGTATGATTTGTAGCTGATTTCGAACATATTTTGTCTAGGGGTAAAAAAATCTCTGATAAAACGTAAGATAGTGTATGTAAATATATACATTATACATCAGTGCAACGAAACGCCTTTCAACTTGCTCTGAGATGGGTATCTCTATTATCAAAATCGCCACTGATACAATATTTTTTCTTTTCCAGCCAAGTCCAAACAAAAATTATATTACTAGTTATTTTGATTATTATAAACAGCCACACAGATGATTATATTATGTAAAATATTTTCACAATATGCAGATAACATATGTGAAGGAAATATCTGTACAGCAAGGCAAAGTTCAACAAGATTTGGGTTTCCTGCAGAAAGGGTGATTGACAAAAACATCCATCAAACATATAATCAATGTGCACATACTTCTGAAAGCGATCAAGAGGCATGGGTTATGGTTGACTTAGGAATGGAATATAAAATAAGAAATGTTGTTATTTATTACAGAACTGAAGGTAGGTGCATGTTTTAATTTCACTTTCCTGATTTAGATAACACTTATTTTACATTGAATTACAACTAAAATATGTATATTCATGAGCTTTATCTTACATAATTATTATATGTTATTATAAATATGCAAATTAAGAACTGTTTTAGATACATACACATGAGAAAGTCAATAAGAAATTAAACACACTAGTCAAGGTTTCAGAAGCCGCCATTGCAACTCATGATCAAGAATGTATGTTTCAGGAGAAAATTAAAATCTCGGAGCATGAGTTTTGAAATTAGATCTCATTTTAAACTACATGAACATGTATACTTAAACCTTATAAGAGGGTTACATGTACTAGGGAAAATCCTGCATGAGAGCTTTTGATAAATATTAACCGTTTCACACACTTTTATATGATAAATTATCTTCATTGGTTTAAGCTTAACCTCGGCCAATATTGTTATTTTTTAGGAGAATAATTTACTATACCCAGCACAAAAAGAGTCCATATATATTTCGGTAATATTCGCCATAAAAAACAGACAATCTACGATAAATGAAGCTATTCAGGATATAAAACATTAAAAATTACAAGATGTGTTAGTGGAACATTTTTTCTACCATAAAGCGGTATAGCAAAGATTTAACTTTTCTTAAATGGAAATGAAATTTGTTGGTACCAAAATAAGGTCTTCTAAAAAATGTTATCTTGAAATATGAAAGCACTGGCACCACGTACAATGTAGTCAAATGATAGGTCAAAGTTTTTGAGGGGTTGGTCAAATTCAGGAGTCAACGGGTCAAAGTAATTGTTTTTTAAAAAAGGTCTTGTCATAATTTTCAAAGACGAAAGTTTGTACATGAAAATGCTGTTGTCATGCAGCCTCTAATGTCTTTTTATTCAAATTGGGACTATATCATGACTTCTACTACGATTATTGCCGAGATCAAAGAAATGCCGCGGACATTATTCTTCAATAAATCACGAACGTCATCAAAATATTATCAGATCAGAAACACATATCAAACCTGTTCCGTTGAATTGTACATTTGACTTAAGGATGAAATACATAATTATTTAGATCACATTGTTGTGTCGTCTTCTGGAATTTAAACACTGCATATTGCATAACTAGCTGATGAATGTTGGTCTCGAAAGCTAAACGGGGCTGTTTCATGGACCTCTCTACGCCATTTTTAAACTCCGTGATTTTGGTGATAAAGTGGTGAAATGGGAAACTGTATATTCAAAAAGATTTATCTATACATGTACATGTACAAGCTACAAACATTTTTGATTTATTTGATAAAAGGCTAATTTTGATGCAGCGAAAGCACAAACCGTCTGTATTCTATCCACAGGTAAACAAACAAATTTCAACTCCGGTGATAAATTGAACAGCGTTATTGCAGCATGGTGACCTAATTCGTTTCTATATAGAGAAACAATCAGTCGTATTTTAGAGCTGCTAATTAGAATAGAAATAAATTCCTTGTTGTCGGAATTGATGCAGAGTAACCTCCTCGGTCGATAAATGCTGTCTAAAGTACAAAAGCCTCATTTAACGCCTTGGCCCTTATCTTTCAAACCGTTCATGGTAGCCAGGTGGTAGAGCGTTCGCTTCGTGATCGGGAGGGCCGGGTTCGATTCTCATTCGCGGCGCCGCGTCAAACCTAAGACGTAAAAATAGGTAGTGACTGTTCTTTCGCTAAGCGCTCGGCATCAGAAGTGACAGTCACGTTTTTTCGGATCTGACATTAAAAACGTAGGTCCTGTCTCACGGTAGACGGTAGGAACGATAAAGAACCCTCACTACTCAATGGCCCTGAGTGCCGAGTATAGGTCTAAATTTGAAGCCCTTCACCGGCATACGGTGACGTCTCCATATGAGTGAAAAATTCTCGAGAGGGACGTTAAACAATCAATCAATCAATCAATCAACATTTCTCAACCTCGGAGGTTATTCTACAACATTTACAAAAACGCGGACTTACACAATTATGGACTCTTTTGGTGTTGAAGTTTGTTATTCACCAGAAAAATATGTCCTAGCTCATATTCAACAACAGAAGAGTCAATGATATATTAAGTGCATGATCGTGAGAAAATAAGAAGATTTATTCAGCCAAGAAAAAAATCATGTCATGGGAATATGGATGTATGATATGCAACCCAAATAAAATATCCATACATCCATCATCGGACATAAATACGTCCCTGAAACGTTCTACTTTCCCATTTTTTCGTTCGCTCACCGTTTGTTTAGCGTTCGTTCACCGTTAGCTCAGCGTGCGTTCATCGTTCGCTCTCCGTTCACAGTATTGCGTTCACCGTTCACAGTGCGCTCGCGTTCACCGTTCGCTCTTCGTTCCGTTTACTTTGCGTTCACCTTGCGTGCACCGTTCACTTATCGTTCAGTCTTTATTGTCATTCGGAACTCCGAATTGAAAGGACTTATCTATTTGATGGTAAGGATTTACACGTTTTTAATTAAATAACTTAAATATCGTGTTTGAAGAATAATTATTTCATTGCTAAAACTATCTATGATATTTATATTTCTATTTTTATAATTTAGCTGTTACTTTATTCATGAAATTTCCCTGGAAAACAATACATTAAGTACCAACATGTATGTAGAACGATGTTAAAATATTTAATTTAAAAAATGGCCGTGTACAAATGCTTCACGCACGGCAACAATTTGTTAAATTTGCAATGCTTAAAGACGACAAATCATTAATGAATGTATAATAATTAATCCAAGTCTTTTACAAGACAAGAATACAATAAAAATATTTCTTCAGTTACACGTATTTTAAACTACACGTAGGTCTGAGAAGTATGATATGTTTGCCATTCAGTATAATTTAGACACCCCCCCCCCCCCCGCCCGGTGCCTTTTCTCCCGAAATCAAATTCTAAGTGAGTATCTTCAGTATTTAACTAATACGTATGTAATGTATATTGTACCACAAGAAAATCAGACTTAAAACCAACATCAAACAGTCATTAAACAATAGTATTTTAGAATACACTTGTGCCGACAGAAGTATTTTAAATTGGCAGGGAATATGTTTCAAACTAAATTTAAAACTTAATCCTTCCAAGTATATATTCCAATCATTTATTTTTTTTCTGCAGGAATGCAAAAACCAGATCTAGAAATGATAGGGGAAAATATTAAAACTTCTTGGAAATACTGACTGCCTTCGGCATGTTCGGTGAAACTTGATTTCCACGCCTCCACTGATGAATTGCTGGTCGGGACAAATTTAACCTTGTAAATGCTTAATTATACTGTTCCGTTGATATTTTAGAGCTTAATGTTCTATATCCCCTGTCCTTTATAACACATAAGCAAAAAGAGCATTCCTTTACGAGCCCCGAGGCTGCCATGGTTTACAAACACTTTCAATCATCAACACGACATTTTTCTCATGGGCGCCGCCATTACTGTATGCCTAATTCGATAACGTCAATTTTCATTGGCCCTCGAAAGGTCACATTAGGTTACACATATGAGTTTAGCGAAAATTTCGGTCTTGTGTCCCACGGGAGGTAAGAGAAGCGAGACCGACCTTGGGTTTCCGACGATGGAATCCTGGTCGTAACTTTGAAAACTACAGGTTGCATTAACACTTTAAATTTGGGAAAGTTGCTTTTAACAGAGCTATGACCAACAACCTTAAATATTATCCCTATGTACAATTCACAACTTACTTATTATACCAAACTCGAAGACTTGACCCCCTTATTTGCATATTAAAGTAAATTTTACATGTTGAATAAATTGCTTTTTAGGGAGAATGCTGACAGAGCTATTTTTTAGTTCCATTAAATTTAATGACGTTATTTGATTTTAATTTACAATAAACATGCACTAAAAGTAAATCTAACTAGTTCTGATATTTTGTGAAAAAATACCTAAAAATTCAGTTGTCTTGGAAATTTGGATTTTCATTAACATTAGTATAGGACACAAGTGACATAAAGTTACAGTGTTTTTCTTTTAAAGTTTTTACACGTTCACACACAATCATGCAGCTCTCTGAAATGATTGCAAACGATAATTATTTTGATTAAATCTTGGTAAAACCTTTAATGTTTGTAAAAACGAACGTTTCTCGAAGTTGTGTACCATGCATTTTATAGGAACTTCTAAGGAAGCCTGGAAACCGTATCGACTCAGGCAATATAGTTTAGAAGTACACTATTTGCAACGATGGATTCAATGTTTTAAAGATAACACATTGTTTCCTGATATTCCTTCAAGTATACAGAATGTATCGTGTAAAACAACAGCCAGGTATCTCAGAGTTAGAACAACGTATGACGCCCCTGAGGATTCTTTAAACCGGATAGCTATTCTTGAAATATGTGAAATTCAAGTTTACGGTAATCACTTTTCTTTGCATTAATGAATGACACCGTTGATTATATAATATTTATTATATTATGACAATTTATTCCTTTAGTGCCAGTTACAATTCACAATTATGTATGTAAATGTTATTTTTAAATCCTGTGATGATGCAATTATTTTTTTTCAGGATGTAATATTGGTAATTATGGCCCAAACTGTAAATCATGTGAAGGTTGTGAAAACTGTGACATAGATTATGGCTGCCGTAAGTACTTTCTGTTTGTAAAAATATTTAAAAAAAAATAGGCTGAAATATACTTTAAGAACTATGAATGCTCAATGCAAAGAACATCTAATTTCAATATAATAATTCAATAACTTCCAAATTTTTAATGTTTTTCAATCGATGTGCATAATGTTTTTATATGAAGCTTGGTTAAAAGATTTTAAGAGATAGGAGTTTACGTGGGTTTTAGGTTAAGGGCCATTCTTTGAGATTTGTATCTGAATAATAGTAAAAGGTAGGATTTTAATTATTGCTTAGATCAGAAAGTACGAAAACGTTTTAATTTTCTTCAGAAATCTTTTTTTTTCTAAATATACTAGTATTCAACTTTTAAATCACAGCATTAAAATTAAACTATTATTATGTAAGAGGAATATAGGACCGATGATAGAAAAACAACTTTTTTGCAGAGAGCAAGTACAAACAATTTATATTAAAAAGAATGAAGAAAAAATTAAAATAAACCAGATGCGTTTGTGAACACCGATGCCTCTGTATGGCCGCCTAGTGAATGTTAAACTTATCAAGTGCAAATTAAATTTGTTAGTATTCAAAGAAAAACTACAGTGGTGAAATATGAAAGCATAGAAATCATCTTGTATCTGGTATTTGGGTTTTCCAGAGTACAACATAAAACTGCTTACTTTAATGCCGCTCTATGGCATTCTTAGACGTCATTATTAATTAGGGAGGACTACCTACCTTCTGGAATTGTTTTTTTTTTTTTTTTTTCAAAAAAGTTATATATTACATTTTGCAAGTCTTAATTTGGAATCTGATATAACAAAATGAGACAAATTTTAACCGGAACAAATATGATTTCCTGTTTTTGCGACATTTTACAGAGGATGTACGAACAAACATTATTTACTGTATTGAATGTTAATTGTAAATTTTTTGACCTGCTGAGATTCGATTCCTGTATTTCAAAACTCTGAATAAATTTATAATATTAATTAGTATTATTTAACTACAGTTATTATCAGAATGATATTTCTGCTAATAGCCAAATATTCAAAAGTTCCAGCAGGTACCCGTGCTTGCTTCTTCATGCATATATTCGTATATATCAAAGAACATGTTCTTTTGATAAACATCTTTCTGTATCATCAAAGATAATATGTTTTACGGTATGACCGTTGGGGCGAGCGCAGTTCTGTACTATCATATAAACCTACACATGTACTGCCTATCATTCAAGAAAAAGAAAGAAAAATGAAGAAAACAAAACAATAAAAAGAAATCACTTCCCAAGCATCGGGATCGAGATTCCGAACTTCTCGGAAGTTTCCGACAAAATCGGAAATACCCGAACCGCTAAAGTGACGACAGTATGACGTCAGATAAAAAGTCCTGTTGACTTAGGACGCAAACGATAGTGTAGGCATGGAAATTTTACAATAAATCGTTGTTTGTAATTTTTTTCAAGTAAGTTGTTCCTTGGTTTTAGCCACCATGTTGCTATGCACCGCAAAGGATTATTGGAAGTTTGGAATTTTTTTCACGCGGTGAGATAAAAATTTCTTGGAACAATGTGCAGATTTCAAACCGAATTTCCTCCGTTCGTACACGTTAGTCTATTGAGCTCGCTACGCGAGCGGCGCTTCGCGCCGCCCCGCTGCGCTCGCTTTAAATACATACATAAAATTAAAGATTATTACTTAATATTATGAACGTTCTAATTACTTGAAAAGTCCTGTCTTCTTTACACTTACATTTTTAAGATAAGCTGATAATTTTCTTATTTCCGATTTGGTCTAATTAAGAAGAGACTGTCATGTATTATGTGGTTTCTTTTTTCCAGCTGTCCTGTGTAGCCCACATTGCACACAAGGAACCTGTGATTTTAATGGAAACTGTGAAATGGGATGTAATGCAGGATATTGGGGGGATAAATGTAACAAAAAATGTCCGATGAACTGTTTTAATAACGTATGCATAAAAACAAATGGATACTGCGCATACTGTACCAACGGTTTTTATGGGATGGATTGCAGAAATCGTTGTGGTAATTGTAGTTCAGGTTCTTGTTATATTAACGATGGGCACTGTTCTGGGGACTGTAATATTGGATTTTATGGAAACGGATGTAATAGACCATGTTATCGCAACTGTTTCAACCAGAAATGCAGAAAAGATGATGGGTATTGCGAAAAATGTAAAAGCGGCTTTTATGGCGATCTTTGTAAAACTCCATGCAGTCCAAATTGTCTACAATCTGCATGTTATCGCAGTAATGGAGCTTGCATTGAAGGCTGTAAAGGGCATTGGGCAGGAGCACAATGCAATGGTAAATGTTTGGAATAAATATATTTAACTAATTTAATTTTTTCTTAAGAAATAGGAGTATAATTGACATGCAATGTGGCCATAAATGACAATCGAATCATTTTTAACTAAATCAGAAGTAGATCAGTTTATTGTATCAGACAGAAGAAATTAGTTTCGAGTAAGGATGTAACATAGGATATACTAGTGCACAATTTAGATTTAGTTTGCACAGTTTTGTTTTTAACTTCATTTACGAATGTGATGATATCTATTAGCAAAAATATAAACATGTATGCTGACTTTGTATAATAACTGAAAAACTCTTTATCAATATTGTGACAAAAGTTAAAAACCATTATCTCCAGCCATTACCTGGAGTTTGCTCATAGCTTTCTTATTTCCGCCAGATTGCTAAACGTTTTTTTTTCATCATTGAATATTAATGCATTTTCAGTATATATTGCAAATAGAGAAGTCGTTTATTTGCAGAATGTGATGAAACACATTATGGATCCAACTGTATCCAGGAATGTAATGTTAATTGCGTAGATAAAAAATGTTTAAAGGGTGTGTGTTCCCTGGGATGTAATAATGGGTTTTATGGAGACAAGTGTAACAAAACATGCAATCCATCATGTCTATCTGACTGTAATAGAGACAATGGTAGTTGTGTGGGTGCTTGTGAAATTGGTAAATTTGGCAATACGTGTGATAAAGAGTGCAATTTAACATGTAAAAATGGATGCATAAAGAGCAGTGGTCTGTGCAACAGTTGTTATGACGGAAAGTATGGTACGACTTGTCAGAAAAATTGTGGTACTGGCTGCAGAGCTGGTTGTGATCAGGATAATGGTAGTTGTGTATGCAAACGAGGATGGCAAGGACATTCATGTGATGGTAAGGTTACAAAATGCTACGAGCATTGATGACGTTTTTCGTCCATTTTTTCTTTAAGGGTCCTCCACACACCCACAGGTTATGCTCTCATATTATTGAGCATTACTTTTAATAATCATATCAACCTTTAAAAACTGTCCAGGGATTAAAATGTAATTTATACTGATTTTTTTAAAATAATTATTTCACAAGTTATAAGAATTTTTTCCAAGAGCATTTTCATACCTAGCACAACAAACTTTGTCTTATCCTTTCGTATATTATTAAGCTCACAGAATAACCATAAAAATTTAATTTTATCTATCAACATATTTTTTACAGAAATCTATTTTATTTATAAAAAGTACACAAAACTCATTTTCTCTGAAATACATTTCGAGAAAAATCAATAAGGACTCTTTTTGTGGAGAAAAAACATTAATGAATTAGATTACATGAAAAAATTGAATTAAAATTAAATGCACTGATGTAGAAAAAACATTTTCAAAATCTTTGGTATCAAAGTTCCTTTTTGGAGTTATCTTTCCTGTTGCCCGGGACTCAAAAACTTTGGCAAGTCTCCGCATACGTCACCATACTATATTTAGTAATTACTGGCCACTGAACAATGAGATGATGTATTATTGAAACGCACAAATTAATGTGCCGAAATGTCAACTATCAAAACAGACTCAGTTGATTAGCCTGAAAGGATAAATAACCTAAACGTTTTTCGTCATAGCCACCGGTACCTGTTGTTTACGAATTATTATGTAACATAATCCAAGACGTCTGTTGTTCTTTTATTTAACAAAAAACCGCACATCCTTTTCCATCGGTCATGTATTTATTGAAGGTATCACAACACGTGTCTGTCGTACACGTGTTTACCTAGTGTTGTTTAAAATAGATAATCGATCGGATTGGTTAATGTATTTTTAGAATACCTGTTCTACAGGTATTCTATTAAAGCACGCACGCTTTACCGTGAGTTCAAGTTTAACGCCATTCGAAGGCTCTCTCTCAAACTGTGCAGTCTGACATTCAAGATAAGTTTTTCTCCATGGATAATGAGGAAGATATTCTCATGACTGACGAGACAACGGGAGGGATTCCTAAGCTACCAGATAACGCACAGTCCACGTCTACTTCATTCGCTTTGACAGACGCAGTCAAATTATTGTCTACAGCTATATCCACCCAATTTCAACAATTATCTGAAAAGCTGCAGGAAGACAGTAAATCTTCAGCTCAGGAACTTTCTAAGAAGCTCAAGGACAACATAGCTGGGAAGTTAAAATACGAAGGAAACAAGGTTCAGTATTTGTTTAATGAAGAATTGTTAGAGGAACTTGATAAACTCAAAGATTTATCTACTCATAATGACAAAGTTGTTAAACGAATCAATGAAAAACTTAAAACCAGGCAAAAGTATATCAGAATTGCAGACGGTTCCCCAGCTGGGTGGAAGACAGTACAAGAGTACCAATGTAATGATATTGCCGACGACTCGGATGACGAGAAAAAGATTAGGAGCGCGGAGAACAGAGCCCTCAGAAACAATAGACGGATTAAAAAGCCTCGTTTCCAACCTTATGGCAAGCCCGTCCCTTCTGCTGCTGCTGGTTCTGCTGCTCAGCTTTCCGCACTCGCATTGCAACAGGCAAACACAGTACAACAAGCCGGCACCAGCAAATTTATTCAGCAGCCCTTTCGCTTCAGTAGCAGACGGACACCACAGCCCAGCGACGTCTGCTACAAGTGTTTCCAGACTGGGCATTGGAAAACAGGATGTCCCCTCAACAGTCTATACACCAGCAGCGCAGGCTCCAATATTAAGTCAAATTGATGATAAGTATATACTATCTGTAGATATGTTTGATCAGATAACTGATAATGAGATAATGATTGAACATTGCAAGTTTTTATCAATACAAGATTCAAATGAGTCTTATAAAGGAGTGAAAAATAGTTTGCACAAACATTATGATTTCTGGGAAAAGATGGGTGCATTTGATGATATTTTGAGAATTATAAAAACTGGATATAATATTCCTTTTGCAGTTAATCCACCTAGAATTCATTTGAAGAATAACAAATCTGCTCTTCAGAATTTTTCCTTTGTTTCAGAAAGCATAGAAGATCTGATTCAAACAGGTTGCGTTATACAGGTACCATTCAGACCATTTGTAGTGAGCCCATTGAGCGTCGAAGAAAACAGAGAAAAGAAGCGTTTGATTTTAGATCTAAGTGTTTTAAATTCATACTTGAAAAAAGAAAAAGTAAAGTTTGAAGATTATAAAGTGGCTTTACAATATTTCGAGAAAAATTGCTTCTGTATTAAGTTTGACTTGAAATCAGGTTACCACCATATAGATATTTGTAAGGAATGCCAAACATTTTTGGGTTTTCAGTGGAAAGATAATTATTATTGTTTTACAGTTCTTCCGTTTGGTTTGTCTACAGCCCCATATATATTTACAAAATGTTTACGGGCTATGGTGAAGTATTGGCGTACTAACAATATAAAGATTGTTCTTTATTTAGATGACGGTATAGCCATGTCGGAGTCATTCGAAGAGTGTCAGAGAATTTCAAGTTTTATCAAGTCATCATTAAACGAGGCAGGATTTTTAATCAATTTTGAAAAATCGATTTTCAGCCCAGTGCAAGACTTGGAATGGTTAGGTATCAGATGGAATTCAGTAGCGTTTGAAATTTCTATTCCAGAAAGAAGAATTCAAGACATCGAGACTAACATTGCTCAATTTCTTTCAGATTTACCCAAGGTTTCGGCTAGGGCATTGGCCAGAGTTGTGGGGAAAATAATGTCATTACATTCAGTTATGGGTAACGTTTGTAGGTTAATGACAAGATATTGCTACATGGAAATTGTTCTCAAAACATCATGGGATGGTACACTTTATTTTAGTTTGCTATTAACACGATGAAAGAATTGAAATTTTGGTTACAAAATATCCGAAATTATAATGAAAGAAAACTTAAGATTACACAAAGAGAAAGTACATTGGTGTATTCAGATGCTAGCGCAGTAGGCACTGGGGCATATACAGTGGGCATAGATGAGCAGTTTTTCCACCAGGTGTGGAACGAACATGAAATGAATAAAAGTTCAACATGGAGAGAGATGAAGGCAATAGAATTAGCTTTGATTTCATTTGATGAAATGTTGTTTTAAAAATGTACCAAATGGTTTACAGATAACCAGAGCTGTGTCCATATTTTACAGTCAGGTAGTATGAAGACAGAATTGCAAGAAATAGCTTTTAACATATTTTCATTTTGCAGGAAGCACAGCATTTCTATCGATATCCAGTGGATCCCTAGAGACAAAAATCAAAAAGCCGATTACTTAAGTAAACTTGTCGACTATGAAGATTGGGGTGTGTCTCATGATTTTTTTGAATTTATTGATTCTTTATACGGTCCACATACTATTGATAGATTCGCTAGTGCAAAGAACAATAAATTGTCTAGATTTAATTCACTTTTCTGGAACCCAGGGACAGAAGCTGTCGATTCTTTTACGCAAAACTGGACGTTAGAAAATAATTGGCTGGTTCCGCCTATTTTCTTAGTTATAAAAACTATAAAGTATCTTGTCAGTAGCAAAGCTGTAGGGACATTAATTGTACCTAAGTGGAAATCAGCTTCCTTTTGGCCTTACATATATAAAGACAAAGTTGATACTTATGAATATGTTGCAGATATATTAGAGTTCAAAGATGTGTCTGGAATATATGTACAAGGTCAGAACAAAAACACGGTTTTTGGTTCGAACAAGTTTTTATCTCCAGTATTAGTAATTAGACTGGATGCTAGTATGTTGTAATGTATATAATTTGTAAATACATGTTATTATGCTGTTTGATCGGTAGAAGTGTATTGTGTTATGTGCATTGCAGTTGATGATGGCCCTGGTGCACATATAGGCATTAGTGAACCTGGTACAGAGGTATTGCAGATGTTAAAAAAAAAAAAAAAAAAATAGGCCCTGGTATGTATTGTACTGCAGATGATAGACTAAAGTTGTATGAAAATTTAAAAATTGAGGTCCTGGTACTATATTGTACTGCAGATGTTGAAATAACGTTTTTCTGAGTTCTTTATAGACAAACAGAAGTCATACAGGTCGTGTATTGCAGAGATTTGGCCCTGGTACACGTAATATCATATTTCTCTATATACGTCACAAGTCACATGGTGTGGAGGACCCTTAAGGTCAGACGACACGTTCCTCAAAAATATATATTTTTCCCAAGAATTTGTCATTGAAGTATAGGTTCTTAAACAATTTTTTTCACAAAAAATTAGAGTACCATACCAGGCATTTGGACAAGACACCAGAGGGTGATATTTCTTATATAATCCATATGGGCAATCTTCTGAATGGCCTATGTAACAATTTTTGGTGAACTTGTATCTATAAAACATATTGAAAACAATGTAGCAACCACAAAAGAATGACAATTATGAATTAATTTTAGATAATATCAAGCAATACAAAACATATATTTGAGGAACGTGTCATGTGACCTTAATACGTCGATCAAAGGACAAAGTGTTACATTTATTTTTTAAATCATTCCGGGGATATTGAATACACAACTCTACATGTATATCTGAGCTGGTTTTCTACCAAAAAATGGTCTTCTGTGTTCGAATTATACATTACAAAGAAATAGTATTTATGATTGGACCTTCTTCAACTAAAGCAAAAATGTTATAATATTATATTATATTATACAATTCTACTATAGATAAGCACATGTAAAGTATGTCAAGAAATGATTAATTTCTTTTTTTAAAGACTGTAGCCCATATTTTTATGGTGATTTTTGTGAAAATGAATGTAGCCTGCACTGTCAAAACGGAACCTGCTTCTCTAATAATGGTTCATGTATAGGTGGATACAATGGTGATTTTACAGATATGCAGTGCAAACAAGGTACTATTTTCAATTAACTTTAAATTAATGTTAATGATAAATTATTTTTAGAATTTATGATCGAAACTAAAAAAAAAAAAAAACAACTTAAGGGGGCCGACGATAGTTTCCATTGCGCAATATTTCGCGCATTAAGTACAATGAAGCGTATTTACTCTTTTAAAGAAACTTGTTTCGCTTAATTAATAAAAATAAACAAAATTAAGAAATTATAGGTATAAAAATGTAATTACAATTTGATATAACGGATTTTTTAACCGATTTTGCAATTGATAGGTAGGTTGACGCCGTTGCAGTGTTTTTTGACGTTATGATAATCTGTAGCTCTTAAGGAAGGCCCACACTTTTACGGATGCGGTTCTGATTTTACATATCAATATAAAATTCTGATTTTCACATTTCTATTGATATAAATCTTTTTGGGTGATTGAAAATGATTTAGCAAGTATATATTTGTTTATTTTAGTGTTATTGTGCATATATAGGATTTAATATACATTATTTATGGAAATTAACACTTTGCACTCTGTCCATAAGATCTATATGTCACTTAGTACATACACAAACACAAAATTTTTAATTGCTTTTATGGACCTAAATCTTTTTAATTTTCTTTTAAGCAAACTAACCTGAGATCTATTTTTATTTATTTAGAGCCTATATCATCCATTTAATTTTTACTTTTTAAAAATTTTGCATTGAATAATTGAAAAAAATTGATCTTCCAAAAATGGGGGTATACGTCTTCAAAAGACTGTTATGTTAAAATTCTCTGGTCAATCATAATAAATTAGCTGTTTTTGTTAACATAAGATATAACACTTAACAGTTTTAAAGAAAAAATGGCATCTTAACATTTAGAATTTTGAGAATTATAAAAAATAAAGATATTTAGAGATTTTTTTCTGAAAGGCATGGACAGATTCAGCACCAATTTGCTAATGTTTTGCAGTAAAGATTTCAAATATTCTCTTGTCAAATGAATATTTTTTATCTTCATAAGTTTTAACATAAATTTGATGTGATTTGGTGCATAACTAAAAGAAATATGATATCATACTTTTTTATGTTCAATTTTGGCTGTTGAGTTTTTAGAGGTATGTGCGCTGAGACATGCTGTATGAAAATTAACCTGCAAAGATATGTCTTTTATGGGTGTTTTAGTAAGTTTAAGACTTGTTCAAAGTATTCAAATTGAAAAATTATCAGTTTGACAGAAAATTCTGAAAGTACGGACCTACCTTAAAGAAAGGGGTACTAAAAATATTATTAAAGAAAAAGTAATAAACATACGCTCTTGAAATTTAAAACTTGAAAATTTTAGAATATCTCTAATATTTTTATTACGTTTTCACGTGAATCAATTGTGTACGTCATATTTTGTAATACTCTAAAAAAAAAATAGTAAAATTTGCTAATTTTTTGCATTTTGAGATGCCCCCTCTGGTAACAAGACGGTAGAATTTTGTGTTTCTTACATATATTGTATAATATAGTATTACTCATCAAATATCATAGTTTGAACAAAATGTCTATTGTAGTATTTGTATAATTTGCTTTAAAATGCTAAAAATGGGCATTTTCCTATATAATCCTATAGTAAATGTACCTGTATTTTGAGACGGTCCCTCAAAAATAACTGGACGGTAGATTTCCCCCAAACTTTGCATGTACACTGAAGTTAATGTAAGTTATATATGGTATAAAAATGAAGAGTTTCGCTATTGTAGTTTTCACAAAATAAAACTATAGTCGGCCCCCTTAAACAATCCTTGTGCATGTAAAATTGTTCAGATCACATTTTCTCACACACATTGCTAATCAAATAAATCAAGTTTATAATTATTATCCGCTCGAAACGCATATAATGAGGGGATATAGTAA